ATTCAACTCATCGCCCTTTTTGTTCTTTCTTGATTCTGTTCCTTGGCCTTCGGCTATTCTTGAGCCTGTAATAATGACTCTCAATTACCTGATTTCACAAGTGCCTCATTCATCTTCAGTTGATTTCCCAAAGGTACAATAGCAGCATGTGCTTCGATTTCATTAGTCTAGTTATTCCGTATTTCCAGATGACCGTTGACACTTAACTATAAGAATAAGGAGATAAGTATGCAGTTTCTGTGCATCTCATTCATTAATAATGTTAACAGCCTACTGGGGGTACCTCACTCCTAATTTCGGAACAGTTGACACTGCAAATTGACTCTGAGAAGAGAAAAAAAAACAGAAATCGGCCTCTATTTTTCCCCACATTAGCCAAATTCGTTTACCAAAAACCACGACAGCGACCAGAATCGCTAACAGTTGGTAAAGCTTTGTATGCAGTTATAGCCTCCATAGAATACTGTAAGCTATTTGAAAGACGTGGAATCCAAATCCAGTGTCCATTTCCGACAGAACATAGCCAAGTGGGTGGACAACCCTGAAAACCCAAGTTCAAGAACGCCCTATTATGTACATTCAACCACGGCCACTCAAACAATAGACCAAAAAGGCCTAGGACACACTGAGGAAATGTTGCCCTATTCTTACGGCTACGAAGTATGACGTACTTGGCGACGAAAAGATAATTGTCCAATTTGCATTCTCCCAGCTGTGCGACGATTGAAAATATTCCTGGCGTGCTCAGGGCTAAAGGGGCCACCTGCTGAGCTTTCATCAAGTCAGAATATACCCATCTGCAGGTGAGTGATGCGGTAGTATTTTAGAGAACTTGACTGAGGTACTGGCTAAGAAAACATGAACAGACAGGTGATTAGGAAAGACTGGGATAATGATATACATATTCACTTTCTTCAGAGCATCTGAGCAGAGAATTGAGTGGCGAAACAAGACCGAAGATGACTGTTTCAGATCTGGCACTTCATGATGATGATGATGGTGATGATGATGATGATGATGATGATGATGATGATGATGATGATGATGATGATGATGATGATGATGATGATGATGA